TCCCCCCCACATACCTGTACACATACACCTTGTCCATCAGGTCCCCGTTGCTTCCTGGTTTGACGACATGTCCGACACAGAGCTTCTTGACCTGATCCCATTCTTTGAAAGACTCAGTAAGGTTGAAGATGTGTATGCTGTACTCAAGCAGCAGAAGAAGACAAGCTAGCACAGTTTGGGAAGGGGAGGGTCCCCCACCCTCTTGATCAGCACCTTCCCAGAATTCCATTTACAGGAATTACAGGCTGGTGGCAACCTGCTCTTCAAAGGAGTCTCAGAGCTGTGAAGTACCTACAAGCGGAACCATGAATCCTTAACGATTCCATGCAGAATGATGCAGAGAGGAAGTTTCTCCAGCTTGATGCTTTTGGCCTCAACTCTGTTCATTCCTGCATCACTGTTCTGCAGATTCAGCTAAAATGTTAGCTGTTTCATGATGAGATGCGTGTGACTGAACACAGGCACATTCTGAGCCCTTTGTGTTCTGATGCAATAATCTCACTTGGACAGCATGATTGGAAATCACCTGAGTCTTTATTATACTTCTTGCTTTTGATTTTGTATGTATTTTTAAGAAAGAAAAACACCTTTTTCCCCCTTTGAAGAGGGAGCACAGGAAGGTCCCATTTGCTTCAGCTCCAGCCTTTGATAGACTGGATTAACCTTCAACTCATTGGCCTTGCATTTCTATCTTGGGCTCTGTCTTGTACTGTGTATTTACAGATACATTGGTACCAGTCTGTATGGTGGGAATTTATTTTTTATACATTTCAGGACAAAAGCAAGTCAGTTTCTTGTATCTGTTAAAGTGGATGTATGTATACATTTTTATACTGCATTACAATGTTGGTGAAGTGCACACCATATTTCTCTGTATGTTATGCTCTGAGGACTTTCTCTTCTGTCGTAAAATGGTCCTGCTTGGTGTAACCAACTGTGCTCAGTCCCTCTAGTACTATCTCCAACATTAAACTGCACACTGGGTTTTTTTTTTTTTTTTTTTTTTAGGAAAAACGCATGTTAATTGTTCTGCATATTATATGAGCAAAATTCTAGGCATTTGCAATTCTGTTCTGTTATGATTAAGGTAACAGTAGTACTTACCTGGATAATAGTATTTCTTTTTGAGAGCTTGTATTCAGTTAAAACATGGGGTCACATTTGACCACCGTACAAATCCAACATTTTAATTTCAAAGTGTTTTCCGCTAGGGTCAAGCTTGTGTTGTACTGAGGGTAATGCCAGTGTTATGTGACTCTATACAGGGGCATTATAGTATTTTGGGACATTCCCTGGATTTCAGGGTTAATCGCCACCTTACTTTGTCATGTTTGCATTTAAACAGCTAGGACAAGATGTGCACTTTGATCTCCAAATACTTCACCATATTTCATGTAATTGCAAAAAATATTATAAAGACCATTTCCTGTTTATATTATAATTTTGAGCTGGTGGTTCATAAGGATTTTTTTAAAGGGAAAATGGTTTTAGTCTGTTAAATGAAACCAGCATCTCCTGCTGTCAATGGAAACTGCTGTACAGCCACAGGACTGTACGAGATACTCTTTTGTCTGTAATTAATCCATAAAGGGTGATTTGCAGTAAACAAGAGTAAAAAACAAAACACATTTAGAAATAACTAGTCACTGTAACTGTGTTGGTAAGTACAAGGTCAAGAGTTCAGCAGGAATTTAATTTGAATTTTATTTTAAGGTCTGTAAGTCGTGCAACTCCCTGTCAGCCGGGAAAAACTGCCAACCTGCAATTAACTTTGAGGTCAGTTGTCATTTATTTCTGTACCTTGTGATTGTAGCTTTTAACACAATGGAAGAAGCAGATTTTATTCCCTCTCTCCCTGTAGAGAATGTATCTGTAGAGTGTATCTTCTTAACTTTCCTGCACTGTGTCTTGTACTTTAATACCAAAACATGCAAGTATTTGTGGTCCTTGCACACGGAATTCAAAGAAACTAAAATTGGCATTAATATACAGGAGTTTCTGAATGATTTGGGAACACAGTATAATTAACAGTGATTGTAATCCAGCTGTGAAGAATTATATATGCAATATATAATTATTGCATTTTGTGTGGAAAAATGAAATATAAATTATTCCAAATATAAATATTTCTGTGAGTGTGGCTTGTCTCATCATTCCTGACCGTCATTCGCAGGTGTGGACCCACAAAGCAAATGTCATCTGTCGTATTTAATTATAGGGGTATTTTCCTTCTCTGAGGAATGCAGAAAAACTTCAAGATGTTTACAGAGGGAAACCGCAAACAGAAAAACAGATGAACACAAAAATTCTGCACTATAAAATGCAAAAATTGGAACACGGGCCAAATTCAGATCTACAGCTTTAGTAGCTGGTTATTTTTAAAAAGTGTATGAGTTAAACCTGTGTCCATTACAAAAAAAAGGAAAGTCACCTTCCTCACTTTTTTTGCTTATGTGGGGAGAACACGAACAGTATTGACATTTTTCTCCCATTGAATCTGGACCTTGCAAAATTCAGGTCTTGTTACAGGATAATTTGGGTGTTCCAATTAAATTCTTATAAAATGATTTTATTGCTATATGCCCTATGCACATTCTTTCTTAAATTAAATTAATAACTTAGTCTGTTCCTGACCCCCCTGGATCCATGGTGTCACAGTCCTGCATGGTTCTGTACTAGTTCTGTACTGATTCTTCTCATTGAGCTAAGCTAGGGCTGGCTGTTTAGCTGAGCAGCTGGGCTGTGTTTGGAGCAGACCAGCTGCCGCCTTGGCACCGGTGGTCACATGGGTCCGATACCCCTTCCAGTGATGGGCCATCCGGGTGGGCTAATCACCTGTACAAAGTGAAGGCCAGAGATTTTACCACTCCATCATGTGACATTAACCTAGTCATGGACATGGAAATTGATATAATTAAAGTTTGCTTTAAATTAACTGTAGGTAATTTTTTTTAGATTGTTAATCACTGCATTCTTAATGATTCCTGGGTACTTCACCCCTGGTTCTGGTTTCAGAGCCATGGGTCCGTTTGTAGCATGGACAGTCCATGCAGGATGGCTGTTACAGGGTGCTGCTCACTCCCAGCTGTTCTCACCAATGACAGAGAGCTTGGCGCAGCTCCTGGCTTTTCCTACAGTGAACTTGACGAGGCCCTGCCTGTCAGGGGACGTGTTCCTCAGGGTGAGGCGATACACAGTGCCGAGGCTCTCCAGGAGCACCTGGGGGCCTGGCTGCAGGGTTTCCTCATTCAGGCTCCACAGGGGGGGGCGGGCGGCCGGTACCGACACCTCACACTCAAAACGGGCCTCGTTTGGGGCTGTCACCTCCACGTCTTCCAGCTCCCGCAGAATCAGCAGCACCTGGGCTGGTTGGAGAGAGAGTGTTTATTTTCCACCAGCTACACACCCATGTGTTATTTGGCCATGTCTGAGGCCATGTGTAACCAGCTCCTTTGTGGTGTTCTCCTGGATTCGGCACTTGTCCCCCGGCCCCTCACCCTCCACCAACAGCTGGGCAGACGAGGTGTGCTCCTCCACTTGCACACTGTAGGTCCCCTCGTCCTCCTGGACCAGTGGCTGTATCACCAGCTTGTGGTAGCAGCCTTCACTGTGGATCTTGAAACGCTCCGATGGTACAATCTCGTTGGCCCCCCGGAACCAGTGCACAGTGGCCCGTGGGGATGACACAGTGCACTCCAGGATCACCCTGTGCCTCTCCAGCGCTGTCCGGTCCCGAAGTGGCTTCACAATGGTAACCGGGAGCTCTGGGGGAGGTGGTGCGTCCAGGTCAAGGCAACTTGTTTGATCACAGGTGGGCATTTGTATAGAAAAGGTTACACTGTACCGTTCACCTCCAGGTACGCTATGGACTCTGCCCCCCCAGCGGCAAATCGGATCTCTCCAGAGTCCTCTGACGTCACGTTGCACATCAGAAGAAAATGTTTGGCCCCTAAACAGTGCAGCACAAAAAGCACCCGAGATCTAGACTACAGCTGTAAGTATCATTCAGTAATGCCTTTAATGCCACCTAGGGTCCACTTCCAAAATCTGCATCCATGTCCTTAATATAATTCTAGTTCACCAATGACTGCCACCTAGAGGCCAGAGCTAAGCATTTCAATAAAAACAAGGAGCAGATAATGGGGGAGGTGCTTCAGTGGATAGGTTCTGACCTTCTTGTCGAATCTTGATCATGCTGGTGGGTCTTATCTTATCCTCATTCCTGAACCACTCCCCGGGGACATCGGCACGTGAAACCTCACACACAAACACAGCATTCTGGTCCTCCTGGATCTCCAGGTCCACCAGGTCCTGCAGCACCTCCACCTCCCTCTCTGAGGAAGTAGGGACCACAAATGGGCCTTAACAGACCACCAGAAGGTGCCCTCCCCCCAATGAAGGACAGTTCACTACAAAAGGCCAGAGGAGGTGCTAGGAAGAGTGGCGATAGATGGTACCATAGATGTCCACAGAGCAGGACGCCCTGGCATCTCCAGCATCACACTCATAGGTCCCAGAATCACACACATCACACTCCAGGATCTGCAGGAGGCGCTTACGCCCCATAGAGTAGACGCGATGGTTCTTGTCTGGTTTCAGCTCAACACTGTCCTGCAGGTGGGGAGGAACCGGTTTGGGGCCGTTATCTCCTGTTTGCTCTTTGCCAGTGAGTTTGCGTCTGAGTTGGCTGCCCTTTGTCAGAATTATACTATCAGTATATATAGTCTATGATTTTAAGTGTGTTATATCTAGCCATGGGGTAACTTTGAATTGATGTATCATGCTTCTGGAAAGTATAAACTTCTTTCTTGGAGGGTAAGGCATCACCTAGCTGGAGGATACTCTCTCACCTTCAGCCACCTCACGCTGGCATTCTGCCTGGACAACTCACACTCAATGGAGGCTAATGAACCCTCTGGCAGGCAGAGGTCCTGTGGTTCCTTCTGGAATGTCACCGGAGGTTCTGGAGATGGTTGAGAGTGAAAAGGGTTCAGCCAAGAAGGTCTGCTGAATCTGCTGAACATTTGATGATTATAATCCTCTTAAGTGAGTTTGTATCCACCCCTTGCCTGCTATCTACTAGAAATTCTTCTGGAACAGCAAACACAATACCCCTGCCAGACCTGATTACATCAGATATCAGCTGCATTTGTTTAATTCTGATCGTGTTATTTTGAACCTCTCATTTACTTGTAAGCTGCTACCTCACCTTTAACAGTGAGCCTGGCCAATGACCTCACACCCTCAGCCGAGAAAACAACGGTGCCGGTGTCCTCCAGAGTGAGACTGGAGAGGGTGAGGCTGTGAACCTTCTCCTTGGACGTGATTCGCAGTTGGTTGCTGGGTTTAAGGCGGAGCCCGTCCTTCTGCCACACGCCCTCCACATTGCTATGAGACAGCTCCACTTCGAAGGTGGCTGTTTCCCATTCAAGTACTTCCATGTCAGTCAGTCCCCTGCATATGATGATCTTCCTTGCTGTGAGCAGCAGAGAAAATCCCAATATTATACACGATTGACTTTAATAGTAATAATAACAATTACGATCATATTATAAACATTCTGTATGTGTAGCTATTATAAACATGCAACATGCTAAGACTCTGGGAGGGGATACAGAGTTGCTTGTCTGAGTCAGACTTTAGCAATGTGGTGCCCCCCTCTGGCCAGGCTCACATTCTCAGATCTGTGCTCATGCAGACAAGTGTTGAACGGGTTCCATTTACAACTTTTACTGATGCCATCAGACACTTTCAGAGACAGTGCTAAAATTTTTGTTGCGTTGAAAGTATTGAAAACAATTAACAGAGTGAAGCAGAGACAAACCGAAGCCATTTCTCCACCCCAGAGTCAAGACCTTTTGCCTGGCTGCTATTTCAGGGTTAATGACATCTATCTCAGGGCTAAAACCAGCTATCTCAGGACTAATGGCAGCTAGCTTAGGTCTAACAGCAGCTATCTCATGGCTAAAAACAGCTATCTCAAGGCTAACAGCTACACTATATGGACAAAAGTGTTGGAACATACTGTATCTCTTAATCATTAAATTCATGTGTTTCATTCAGACCCATTGCCATAGGTATATAAAATCAAGCATCTAGCCATGCAGTCAGGTTTACAAACATTTGTGAAAGAATGGGTCGTTCTGAAGAGCTCAGTGAATTTAAGCATGGTACTCTCATAGGACGTCATCTTCGTGATAAGTAAGTTTGTGAAATTTATTCCCTGCTAGATATTCCACGGTCAACTGTATGTGGTATTATTGCAATATGGAAGCATGTAGGAACAGAAGAAACTCAGCCACAATGTGGCAGACCATGTAATGTAACAGGGTGGAGTTGTTGAGTGCTGAAGCGCATAATGCACAAATATTGTCAGTGCTCTGTTGACTCAATAACTGCATTAATCCCAGCACAAAAATGTGTCCGGGAGTGTCTTGGAATAGGCTTCCATGGCCGAACGCTAAGCGTAATTCCAAGCATGGGATGGAGTGGTGAAAAGCACACACCGCCACTGGATTGGAGAAGTGGAAAAGTGCTCTGTGGAGTGATAATGCAAGCTTCTCTGTCTGGGAGTCTAGGTTTGATGCTAGGAGAACGGTACCTGCCTGA